GATCGATCTCATGATAATAGTGATAAAACAAACTGTGGTGGTGTTATATTGGCTGTGAGTAAAATAAATCAAGTAGTCATGTTCTTGTTACTGATAAATCTAATGAACATTTATTTGTTTGTCTTAGTTTTAATTCTTTTTTCTTGTATGATTTTTATATTTCTCATAATATTTGGAGATTGTACTATTTCTTCAATTGAATGAAATGAATATGGATCAATTAGGAGTTGTCTTTATACATATAATCAGTTTATTGAACTTAATTTTTTATTAATCTTAAGCAATTAAATTTGACACCTAATAATAGTGAACATATTTTATATTTATTGTTACGCAATATTGATTCACAACCTCTGCGGAAGTTAGAATTACACGAACGTTAGTACTAGTTATCCTGCCGTTTCACTGAATTTCACTGTTCCAGCATATCAGAAATTATATTAGATCTGTTCATGCGCTAAATATTAAAGCCGCACATTTCTCAACATTTAATGAAAGAATTTTTCTAGTCGATTGGAATGCGTTGTTTGCATGTAAAAAGGTTGATGATTGTGTGCAAATATTTTATGTCTTATTTGAAGTTATTGATAAAGTATGCCAAAGATTGTTATTTCTATTGATTCATATCCACGATTGTTCCATGCTGAGATAAAATCATTGAAAAAATATTTTTAAAACATAAAAAGGTGCTCATATAAAGAAATAAATTCTGTTGGTGACTATACTGAGTTCTCCATGTTGCGATTTGAGTGCAAAAATATAAACAGAATCTGCCGTAGTTAATATATTAAATCCGTTGAAGAATCTATTTCAAATAATCTTAGCAAATTTTGGACATATTCAAAGAATTTGAAATCTTCCTCAGTCATTCCTAGTAATGTTTGCTATCTAAATAAAACTAGTACCTCTGAAAGTTCTGCAGTTAATCTATTTTCTGATTTTTCAAGTGTTTATTCAATTTGTAATATTAATAGGCCGACTAGTTTATCGTTAACGATCTAAATCTTAACTTAATACAATTATCCTTGTCTTATATCGTTAGAAGAATAGATCTTTGTAGCCAACTAGTTGTATTAGTCTAACAAAATTCCTTCCGTTTTTCATAAGAATGCAGAGGTATGGTCTTTCTTATTTTGACAACTTATTTTTAACAAATCATTGAACTCCGGTATTTTTTCAGACACAGAATTTAGTTACATTAAACCACTTCCAGAATCTGGCTATCCATCTGAGTTTACCAATCATGGTCGTATTATCTCCTGAAATATTAGACAACGTAATAAGACAAGCAACAATAAAATAAAATTTATTATCATTGAAATAAATAGTATTACTTGTAAAAACGACAGGTGTAATGCATGATGATTGAACAATAATATGGCATCAATATTTATTTCCTTGTAAATAAAAATAAATGTAACATTTATACTGAATTAACTATTAGTTTTATAAAGTTTCAATGTGGTTTGTTTCGCAAACTGTTTTAGTAGTTCACTGGACAAATATTACAGGCTTGAGTGATTGCATCTTCACAAAACCGGTTTCGCTGCTGATGGAATGTCACTTAACCGTGTTATTTACGTGTCAAAAAAACTTATCGGTCGTTTGATTGGTTTCCATTTTATAAACCCTTTTTTCCTATCGTTCTTGAAAAAAACGTCGATTTTGTTTTTACTTGTACCAAAACAGTTTTGTAAATAAAATAAATTTTAATTTATGTTAACGTTAAACAAACTTAGACAACGAATTCAATCAATGAAAACAGAATAAGACATATATTAAGACATAACAATATATATGTGGGAGACGAAAAACAGTACTACTGAAAAAGAAAAGTACGAAAATTAACTAAAAATATTAAGAAGCATACATGCCACAAGGAATACAACACAGACACAATCAACGAAATAAAAAACATACAGAAAAACAAAACGACACTAAATTTATACACAAAGAAAAAAAACGTCCAAACTGGCAAATCTAATTTGTAAATTAGGTGTTAAAACTGCACTTAAGACCACGAATACAATCGAAAACTATTAACTGTAAGATTCAACAAATCAACTCACTACTTAAAACAATACACCGGCAGACTGGACGAAAAATAATAGACAGACACATAGATCATGTAAGGCAGTTGAGGGACAATTATTGAAAATCAGAGTACTCGTCTCATCTCACAGTAAACCATCAACAATACAGACTACTTCTTACGTGATACTACTTCACGAGTTCAAAAAGGGCGAAAATTGAACAAAATGGATGAAAACTGGAAAATATGCAAACGCAACACATTTAAAACTAAAAAACTCATTAGTACAACAGTTAACATACCACCATTTCACCGTTGAAAACACTATACTAATTAAAAATAAAAAGGCTCAATGATCACAAAGACCAACCGAAACAATAAAAAAAAAATTAACCTACTAAAGGCAGTAGGTACAGACAAACATAACACTATCCACAACACCCCACCCTTACGACCACATGAAAGAAAATTACATAGACACCCTAAAAATGGCGAAATGCATAAACCCATCTGACAGACAGAATCAGCGAGGGGAGGATAGACAGACCTAGATGGTAGGTAATTATCAAACTAAAATATTTTAGTGTAGATTTCTCCGCTGGCCTGCGTGGTAATAACCTGCAATTTGGTTGTTACCTATCATTTTGGTCTATTTATCTTGACCCTGTTGGTCTATAAAGCGCGTTTCGGCATTTCACCCTATCAAGTGTTAAGTCTGTATGATTTTTGAGAAGTCCAGTCTATTTTATAAAGTCGTAAAGGATGAGTGCGTGCCTCAGCATTATCTTTGTTTTAGGTGCCAACGGTAAATAATTTTGTTTCTATTCAATACGTACCCTGACTACGTTGTAGCAATAACAATAAATTATTCACCTGATCTTTAAACTTTCTATTTTGTTAACTCTTCCTTCATTAAATTTTTCTAATTATTTAATACCTATAAATTTATAAATAACAATACACTTATTAATTACCAATTTTTTGCATTTTTTATAATAGTAAGAATTATTGTCAGATAGTCACGTCAGTACGTATAAAAGGCAAAATCTGTAAAGAAAATTCCAAATAGCATCCCTTCCCTTGTTCACAAGTTCACGGTTGAGTGCAATACTTTGCAGATCTTTTAAAAAGAAACAAAGAACGTTCCAGGTTATTTTTGGCCAGTGCCGAAATGAAATGGCGCCTGATGAACAGCCCATCATTAAAGGCTTGGTTGTGCCCTAGTAATTAAGTGTATCTCTCCTACTGTGTCTGTACTATTAAAAGAATCTTTTCTGAGAAATTAATACTGTAATGCACCTGATCCTACTGTCATTTGGATTAAATTGTTGTTGATAAATAATTTTGAAGCCTTTTAAATGTATTACCTAACAACGCATAGTAAAGCAGTAGTGTTTAATTGTGTTTTAAAACTTCAGTTCAGTTTAAAATTCAGTTTGCACAACGAATGTCTAATAATCAAAATATTCCATAATATTTTTCATTTGAAAAAATTTTTGTCAGGCACACAAAAGTCGACATTTTAAATAATAAGTATGAATGATGTGTACAACATCAACTTAATAAAAATACACCTTATGCCAAGAAAAGGTTTACACCATTGTTTTATTTAATAATTTTTATTTGTTTAGTTCGTACCTTACAACATTGGTTTTTATTTACGTATAAAAAAATCAATCACATTTGTAATATACAGGATGTCTCATGACGTCAAGAAAGAAATGTTATCAAATGAGCTTTGAACACACGTTCTTAAATTCGCAAAGGTCAGATTATCAGTGCAAAATTAACTGTTAATAAAAGTTGCAACATTTTAATGACTAATTTTTTAAACCATTTGTAAGCGAAAAATGAATTTTCTAGCAATTAAACGTTAATTTTACACTGGTTATAACTGACCTCTGAAATATCAAGTACATGTGTTAAAGGCTCGTTAGTAGGGGCAACGTTTCTGTAAACTCTATATCTCCCAGTATTTACAGAGCCAAGAAAATCTTATTTAAACTTTAGACTAGACTTTGGAAACTCTCAGAATTTATATTTTAACAGGTTTTGTACTTTGCCTGCTTAAGAGTACAATAAGAAACTAATGAACCTTATTGGATTTTTAATGCTTTTTCCAGTGATGTAATCAAATTTAGAGTAGGATTAATATTTTATGAGATAGGAGACTTCATGGAAAAAAGTTGAAGTAATACGAAAAAAAAATATCTAAGAGAATAAGATCATAGACATAATTACATCTGTTCAAGGGATGCTCAGTTGAATGGACGGTGTGGTGGTAGATGCATGGCTAAATTCAAATTTATTTATTATCCGTGTAAATCATTAAAAATAGTTTCAAAGTGCTTTTCTTTCTGTTAAATTCGACTACCCAGCAAGATGTCAGAGTTGTCACACCAACTCCTCTGCTCTTGAGAACAAAGAGCATTGCTTTGGGGCGTTTCTAGACACTTCCTACCCTCGCCTTGTTGTCTTATGCTGAAATCTGCTTCATATTGTGGTGCGGCAACATGTTCTCGAAAATCAAACCGATACAAATGGCGTCCTACTAGGGAGCATTTTTTTGTCCCATCCTTTATATCATATATACTGCTGACCTACCTGCATAGCCAATTTCATCATCACAGCCTTCTCGGACTATACCGAAATTATGTCCTCTAATTCGAATTCTATCCAAACTACCTCCAATATCCAAAAAACACTCGAAGACTGGTGCAAAAAGTGGAGGACAAGACTGAACGAAGAAAAATGTACTCAGTGTACGTTCACATTTAAAAAATAATCTTGCCCTCCACTGTACATCAACAACAAAGAGTTATCGACTTCCGCTCAAGTCAAATATCTAGGAATACTAGACAGCTGTCTGACGTGGAATCCCCACCCAAGTCTTAAAAACAACAACTTAAGAAGAATTGAACATCTACAAACAACCGAAATCCGTCATGACCGACAACACCTACCTTACCTTATAGAAGACTTTACTGCGACCAATTTGGACGTAAGGAGTGGAACTGTGGGGTCCTGCCAAATCATACAACATCCAGCGCAGTCAATCCTTCCAATCAAAAGTCCTTTTACAAATCGTCATAGCTTCTTACGTCACAAACCTCACTATCCACAATGACCTCAATATTTCTTTTATCAACGAAGTGATCCGTTCCCGATTCCAAAAGTTTTACACCAACTTCTCCATCTATCCTTCTGTTCGAGCCCTTTCTACTCATTCCTATCCCCAGAACTGGCACGTCGCTTCAACCGACGACGGCCTCGAGAAATCCTTGCCTCTGAATCCCACTCTCTCAGGGCCAGCATAGGCTGGCTACGCGTGACATGGTCCTCCGGGTGCAGCGCTGGCATTATACTTTGTGCTGTGTGAAAAAAAGTACTGTGATCATATTTCTAATATGTATAAATATGCGTAAGCCACAAATAAATTTTAAAAAATCTCTGATCCCTGATATTTTATATCAGCTGTAATATGAAGGTTGATATCAGTCACATCAAGATAAAACATTTCGTTCAGGGCAGTAATTTTCTCTTTTGTGGTTTGAGAATTACGGCAAGAAGCGTTGTCCTGTATAAAAAGGTTATCTTTATTTGGAAAGCAATTCAACCAAGAGGACCGTTTCAAGCAACACGGTTAAATATGATTGGCTATTTGCATGTCCGACAATCCTCCAGAGTTGGTAATATCCAGGTGCCCCACATCATTCCTCAACTTCAATTTTGCCGTTTCATACGGATGGCAATAATATTTTAACCCACTTTAAAATAAGAGCACTCGTCAGGTACGTCTTTGGCTGTGTCTTTTTGTCAATGGGATTCGTTTTATTATCTTAACCCATTTTAAGTTGATTTAAGGGAGTTTCCTTTGAACTGATGCGCGTTGAAACATTTAAATTTTCTTTTAGTTTAAAGGTTGTTGTGACCTGACCATCCTTCGCAAGGCGCTGAATTTCCTTATTTTTCAAGCTTGTCCAGCTTCGATTAGGAGCTTTCTTCTTATCTGTTTTACAAATTTTCGCCACCCTGGTATGACCTACAGACTTTTTTTAACACTGAGTTTATATTTGGTTAGTCATTATTTGATCAACACATGAAATAAAGATGAGAATCAAGGTCTAATGGTGTTTCACTGTTATGTTCTTCAAAAATTAAAATAATATTTACAACACTATTTAAAAAGTTTTGTTTTTAATTTTACTTTTCGTGGGTTTTCTTTTAATTTCCACATTGAAAATGGGAAAAAATAGTTTCACCGGGTATGAAGTTAAACTGGGTCGGTCGTAAACCCAGACAACATTAAGGCTAGAGATTAACCTAGATCTTTATGAAAGCAAAAGCTGATTAAGAAGTAATAAATTCTTTAAAGATAAAAAATGCCAAGCCAAAGAAATTTTACACCAAGATGGGATTTTTATTACGAATTTTAAAACATGAATTCTAATTAGGAGCCCCTTGAGCTACGTCGGAACTGTTAACTTTAGATAGAGAAAAATGGGTCAAGTATTTTTTTTATTATTTGAATGATTCGAGCTACAACGTCATAAATTGACTCTACGTTGAAATAAGATGACACCTAAACACTAGAGATTACAACCAACGTTGTACTTTAGAAATAAAAAATAAATAAATAAAAGACTTTGACAAATATTTTTCATCGTGTGGTAATTAAAAGGTTCACTCAATTTATTTATACACTTGATATTGTTAATATAATATTTTATGATAGTTTGTTTTATTTTTCAAACAATTGTTCCTATTAATAGTTATACAAATATTACGAATTTTCTGTATCTTTATCTCCTTCTTCTGCTTAATAGATATAGTGTTGAGGTAGGCGGAACAAAGAAAATACATATTTCATTTACAGATACAATATATACAACTCTATTAACAAAAATATAAAGAAGAAAGGACAATCATAATGCATATTAATAATGAGTATTTAAATAATTCCTCAATTTTCACGAAAATATCAGAAAGCTACATATTCAAAATTATGAACATCTTCCAAAGCTATAATGCACAATTGACCTTTGGTTTCTTTGTTCACTTTTGTTGGTAATGTACAACGCTACAATTAACCGCAACAAATAAATATAATCACAACCAAAACCTAACCGTGAAAAAAGGGCCATTGTTCCAGACCCTCTCCAAAAAAGTCAGCCTATCAAAGTAGTGATATCTGGTGGCCAAGTCCGTTCTTTTTTTAGTCCATAACCTGAGAGAACTAAATGACAAGATAAATATCCAGTCTCTCTAACAAAAAAAATCATCCTCTCAAAGTAGCGATATTTTTTTATATTTTTAGTGTTTTTTTTTAAATTGCTTAACATTTGGCTAGTTTCTGAATGAGGAATGAAACATCAGGGCCATGTGTGCTCATACAGGAGAGGTGAGTGAAGGGAAGGTGGAGAACTCTGAAAAAACGCAAAAAGTTCCAAACTCCTCATTTCTCATTTGAAAACTGGCCAAGTGAGGGACAGATTGAGCAACCTTTCTCTGCATGCTTTGACGCAAAGGTAAGTGTCCGTGGATCAGCTTCGTATGACCTATTCTTAATCGGGTGAGGATGAACCTTCTTCTACAAGACACCAGGAGTCCTCCTAGGACCAAGTATCGACAGTGCTCTTGACATCTGTCGTTATGGCATCTATTAACATAAAGTTATCACGCTGAACGCTAAGTTTTTTTTGTTTTTTTTAACTTTTTGCCCTTCAACCTTTATACAACTAAGTTATGTTTTAAGGTCGCTATAGTTTTATGTGTTTCTCTTAAGCATAAACAGGGGCATAAAATATTCTTTTGTTATTGTGAATTAAAACCAATTGTATTAACTAATCACCATCTCGACATCATTCGCCAATAAAGCAACAAGGGCTACACGCACAGGAATTAATCAATTAATCCGTTAAATGAAATTCCGCTCCACCTTATGAATAAGAGTTGACAATATAGAAGCGGGGGGGATTTGATTGCCACGATCCGTCCGACTAATCAAAACACAATGACGCCTTTATCAAATGTGATCCGCTGTGACGACGACCCGTCAGCATCAACGTAACGGTAAACAAATCGTGTAATCCAAATCAACTTCTTGGTCAAGGTAAATAGGAGCTTTGTAGCCTTCATTATGTGACGACTCCATTGATGTGGGCGTCTGTGGATAAATGACGCTCTTTTACTGGGCAATGTCAACATTGCATTTATCGGCCTTTCAGACCTGGTAAGTAATTTATTTCTTCTGTAAATTTCTTCCATAATATCTTATTTTTACTATTCTACTATTGAAAATATATGGGTCAATATTTTAAAAAACATGATTACCTATATTTTAATTTTTCAATTTTTACCACAAAATATTGATGGGGAGGCTACGGACGTGATTAATTTTAATGAAACTCTTTTTGTCGTACTAGGTCAAAAAATACTAGACACTTATTGCGTTCTTGTCAATATGATCTAGGAGTTGAAACAAAAATTTACGTAATTTAAACACTTTTTTTAACGGTTACCTGTTTTTGTTGAACATTTATTTCAAAATTATCATATACCAGTGGATGTTTCTGTTAAGATAGAATGGTAAAATAATAAGCAGGATCGTATTAAATGAGACTAGATATATAAAAAGTTACAAAAGCCAAAAAAGTTTACAGTAAACTAGGCAAAAAAAATCATATTAAAGACGATTTCGGCTTCGTTTTAATCTTCCTTTTCAACCATTAAATACGGATTTCCATACCAATAAAAAATATACATTTCTAGGCTAGATTAGCCTGGGGCTACTTTTGTTTTCTGACACACGGTATTCCACTTAAAAATTCATAACTCCTCTGGATTTTGTCTAAATTCAATGTAATTACAAGAGTTAGAAAGCTGGATTTCTCTTCTTGTAGACTGTCAACAACGAGTTCAAAAAACGAAGAAAAGGTTGAATATTTTTATTAGCAAGAAACAAAGTTGACATTAGTTTTTTGCACCTCAAAAACCCTTGATCACAAATGTTTCGAAAAATTTAAAAAAAATTACAAAATTAATTCCCCGATTTTTCCAAATCAAAAATAAAGATAATTTTGATACGACACCAGCAATCCCCAGGAACCTTGATAGACATCTGCATGTTTATAAACTACACATAATGGCACAAATTGGCCGCCATAAATAAATTAGGATCAGCAATTAAAAAAAGAGTTAAATTAGTTTTCTAGCTTTCCTACTTATTTTTCTCACTTATAATAATTAAATCTAAATATTACTGACATATCCTTTTTCTACTATATTTATAATGTTTTTGTGCAGACATACTGTGTGTACGGTTTTGATTTCCACAAAAACAACCGGCTCATTTATTCAATTTAATAGATTTTCGAAGCCTTGTAGGTGCTGGGCTTCCCCTTCAGACCTATAGACTCTATTACATGGTAAATTTATGATTAGTGATTATGTTAAAGTAATTTTTTGTTGAAATTGAAACCCTACAACATTGCCACAGTTTAAAAAAAATCCGACTTTTTTGTAATAATATTGAATTCGGATAAATTTCAGAGGTGTTTTGAATTTAATGTAAAACACAGGAAATTGGAAGAATGTACTACCCCCTTATAAATATTCATATCAAATTTCGTATTTAAGAGTTTTAATGAATGGTTAAAACGAATACGAATTGATTTTTTCAAAATATTATTTTTTGGCCGGTTTTACTTGAAGCGTCTTTTGGAGATTGTAACATTTTGTTTATGAAATCTCAGTTAATCTTATCCTGCTTGTTATTTTTTTATCCAACATTAAAAAGAAATCGATCGATTTATATACAGTTTTTGAAAAGATGGCAGTCATAAAGATGACAGAAATCCATATTTAAAAAATATGTATTTTAAAAAAATTCAAAATTCACTGTTGATATAGATATTTTGCAGATGATATGATATAAGAAACGTATAAAAAAATATAATCATCTTCTTCCATCAATTGAGGACCAATGTACAAATATTCACTGATACGCCATTGATAGAACCAAGTCACTAAATTTTCGGTTTGGGACATTTCATCAGAATATTAGAATAAAATTAAGATTCGGATCACTATTGAATACTGAAGAGAGATCATCTTTGCGTCTTCTTTTTTCTTGAGTCAGGTTTCTAAGTCCAAAAGGAAATAATAACGTCACACGGTTTCTTTTGATAGGACCATTATAATTACTGGAGAACAC